CAAAGATGGGTTTATTTTAACTGAGTGCTGATGAATTGAAAACTAAATTTGTTCTAAAATTAAAATGGGCAAAATAAATCCTCACTTCAATTATTTCTCATTGTTGATTTACTTTTTGCAAATTCATCAAAATTCAATTCTTAGTATGGGTTGGTTGTTTATAATGGAGGTGACAGATTTAATATGCAGTTGCTTAATAATTTGAGTCATTTGTAATTGAGATTCTATTTTAATCCTTTACAGCCAAGCCCATCTCAACAGATCAATCTTGGTCCTTCATCAAACCCTCATGCTAAGCCATCAGACTTTCAGTTCCTGAAAATCATTGGAAAGGGCAGCTTTGGGAAGGTGTTGCTTGCCAGACACAAAGCAGATGAAAAATTCTATGCTGTTAAAGTTTTGCAGAAAAAGGCCATCCTAAAGAAAAAAGAGGTAACTTTCTCACTGTGTTCAGTCACTGTTACCAATGTGACCATTGTGTACCCGACAATTTATATTTTGAAAATGTTAATTTATTATATATTTTTTTATTTCAGGAAAAACACATAATGTCCGAGCGTAATGTGCTATTGAAAAATGTAAAACACCCGTTCCTGGTTGGGCTCCACTTTTCTTTCCAAACAACAAGCAGATTATACTTTATCCTGGATTACATCAATGGAGGAGAGGTGAGCTCTAGCTAAATGTGGGATATCTTTCCGGCCTTGCAAGTCCATTGCTTACTCACATTCATTATTATGGAAAAGTTAAGCTAGTGGGGGTGGGACATTTCTAGATTTAGCATTTCCTGTTAACCTGCCAAGTTTTATAGTACTAAATGGGCAGCAGGCGATTTCCAGCTATTGTTTCTGTAGCACTACATGTCAGTACAAATTAATTGTGCTGCTAGTGATGTTTGGCACACTTCTGAAACTTCTTTTACTTTTTTTGTCTCCTTTAGCTGTTCTACCATCTCCAAAGAGAACGCTGCTTCTTAGAACCTCGCGCTCGTTTTTATGCTGCTGAAATAGCCAGTGCACTCGGATATCTGCATTCTTTGAATATTGTTTATAGGTATGAACCTCAAATACAAAGTATGCTACACATCTTCTTTCCTTCTGCAAATAAACACTTCTCAGCCGTCATTTGCCACATCTGTACCTCCCTTGCAATTTTTTTCTTTTTAGAGCATTGGTGCCGTATACATTTGTTTAATCAAATTACATTTTTTTGTGTTCATAGAGATTTGAAACCGGAAAACATCCTTTTGGACTCACAAGGCCACATTGTCTTGACTGATTTTGGACTTTGCAAGGAGAACATTGAACCTAATGGAACAACCTCTACTTTTTGTGGCACACCTGAAGTAAGTTTACCAGCATCATTTAGCTGTGCAGTGTGAGACTTGTGAGTGTGTATGTGAACATGTTGTCTAATAGATGTTTCTGTGTTTTGTTTTAAACAGTACCTTGCACCAGAGGTCCTTCACAAACAGCCTTATGACAGGACAGTCGACTGGTGGTGTCTTGGAGCAGTGTTGTACGAGATGCTGTATGGCCTGGTAAGCAAAGTTCCTATGTTTAAATAATATGCCAAAAATGTTAACCAGTGTGGCTTCTTAGAAAACGTCCAACATTGTGATTGCAACTTAGATTTGGGTCTCTTTACTTAGCTAATTTCTCTTTCCATTTTTTTTATCCACAGCCTCCATTCTATAGCAGGAATACAGCTGAGATGTATGACAATATATTGAACAAGCCACTGCAGCTTAAACCAAACATTACCAACTCTGCCAGAAACCTTCTGGAGGGTCTTCTGCAGAAGGATCGAACTAAAAGAATTGGTGCCAAGAATGACTTTGTAAGTATATAGGTTCTAAATATAAACTCTCATGGTCAGCTGACACGAGCCAAACAGCACACGTGTCTAATTACTTTTGATTGGTCTAATCCAATTTCTCTTCTCACTGACAGACGGAGATTAAGAACCACATCTTTTTCACTCCAATTAACTGGGATGATCTCATCAATAAGAAGATTACACCTCCTTTCAACCCAAATGTGGTAAGTATTTGCTTGGTTTAGACAGCTATGTAGATGTCTGGTTATTTTTAAATTGTAGCCTTATACTCTTTTATTGGGTTTGCTTTTCTGAAAGATTATTCTCCCACTTAAATGTATGCTGAGATGCCACATTGAATTAATGTAGACGTTTTCAGGCAGTGTTCAATCTGAGAAATCATTATAGCCTTGCCCTTGTAGCAGAACATGCTAATGTTCATCTCACTGGCAACTTTCAGTTTGGTGTTTTTTATCTGAATAACCAAGTTATATCATAAGAGAATTATGAGGGAAGTTAATTTAATTGCACTTTTTAGTTTAAAGTGGCACCTAACCTTTTAATTTACCATGGAAGGACACAGAGTCCTTTTTACCACAGACTTTGACAATTGTTTTGTTTGGCCTTTTTGTTCTCAAGTGTAATAACTTTTTATTTTTCACAGAGTGGGCCTAGTGATTTGCAACACTTTGATCCTGAATTCACGGAAGAGCCTGTTCCAAATTCAATTGGCCAGTCTCCTGACAGCATCCTCATAACTGCCAGTATTAAAGAAGCTGCAGAAGCATTTTTGGGCTTTTCCTACGCCCCACCTATGGAGTCTTTCCTTTGAGTGGTCCTTGTTTGCCTTCTGGCCATTTACAGTCAAAGTCACTCTGATTAGTCAATTTTTTTGTTATCTAATAATATATGAAATTGCACATCCTTCATGACAGCATCACAGCCTTAATTTTGACAACATCGTCATTTTGCTGGAAGGGCGCATTCGTGAAGTCAAGTCACAAAAAGGGAGAAGTTATATGGACACTGCCCTCTAGTGTCAAGCTTATGTCGAAGAACTGGAAGCGTCAGTGTGGCTGTAGATCCCTGGCAACGCTGTGATAAACAGGAAAAAAAAATTGAAGACAAGCAGCATACAACTGTGTCTTTAGTATGGGTTATTTGAAATGTGCCTTTCTCCATTCAGAGATAATGTCAAGCTCAAGATCTGTCCACATGAGATGGGATTTCTTGAGTTGTGATGGGTTTATACAAGTGAACAATGGTGTGAATGTGACGCTTTTCACAGAGTAACTGTGGTTTTCACACGTTAATGTGATGCGTAATGATCACTAATTCTGGGGCATTGTACTTTTCTTCCATATGTGGAAGCTAAAATTAATGTAGCTGCAAGTTTTGTTTGTTTTAGGTAGTACTAACTAAATGTATTGCCATCTGACTTGTGATGACCTTTGTTTTTATAATGCTTCTAGGAAAGCATTGCTGCTATTCAGATTTCTATTTTTAGAAATGGGTTTTATGGACCAAAATGCCCCATATTTAGTTGTTCAAAGTTGTAATATGTGATTTAAATAAACATGTATTTATGTTATTTTTTTTTAACATTCCTGACCATTTTGTGCATATTGTATATAATCAAGAGCTGTATATTTAAACAGACAGATTTACGTGTAAGAGTTATACATAATGCCAATGTACTGTAATTAATAAATATAAAATGTATCTTTTTTTTTTTGTGACCAAACCAACGGTTTGCAATAAAACTTTGAAAATATCAGAGCTGTATTTGAATTGTTGGGAACTGAAGGGGTGAAGTGGGTTGGAACGTCGTTAGACCCTGTCCAATGCTGACAGTTTGTAGACTACAACTCCCATACTTTTTAGAGATGTTTGGTTGTTACAGTACCTACAGAGTTGCTATGGAACATCCCAGTGTTAGATAAAGGTCATTATTGGTAGAAGGTTATAGCAATAATTTGTCTGGGCCCTTTTTTCATGAGTTCTACAGATATTTCACAAATGTAAATTTAATAACCAACCTGTGTCACTCCAGAAGTTAAACCACGTACTCATTCATCCACTAACAATTCCAGGTTACTCTACAGATTGCTTGACAGTAAATTTATAGCAACTTAAATTCTATCTCACCCCTATTTAACATATTGAATTCCTGTTTGCCAACACCAGGGGAATTACTTGTTTAAACCCTGGAGTGGAGCACGTGGCACAAACGTCTGTGAACATGTCTTCCTACTTTTAACACACATATTTCACTTACATGGATAGATTAGTAAACAACAATCTATATCAAACATTACATGGTACTTTATAGAAAGTGCTGGACTCTAGGAAATGTTTGATTAAAATTATTTTTATGCCTCTGCACCATTGACTACATGTAGTAGAGCTTGCAAAACACACTCATACCAAATTCTTGAAGCTGGAGCAACCAAAATTGCATTTCAACAGCCTCCCTTTCAACAGCCTGCCCCAGGCTAGGTACTGCGTTTCTATTGCTGTTAGGTGATAATAGAGATATAAATGAATATGCTGACGACTAGCCTAAGCCATTAGGATCACAAAATAGATTTAATAAGATGACTAGACAAATATGACTTTGAAGCAGCAGACAGCATCCCCTGCTGAAAATCTGCTTCTATATATAGAAAACATGGACTACAACATATTTACGTAGAGCTATTTTAGACAACTTCTCATGTCTTGCCTGTTGGTGCAATTTGTGCTGCACCCCTCCTCCCTCTTCACAAGCTATGTTAGTGAAACCCATACATCTGGGCTGGAATGCACACATGTCTAAAATTGTTCTTGGGTTGGCTGGCCAAGGATCATGGAGTTTATAGTCCAGCAACGGATGGAGGGACAATTATTACCTAGCTGTATAATCCTGGCAAAAACATGTGTTATGGGTATAGACTGGTGTACAGTCTAATGCACCCTTTTTAGTAAAACATCAATCTTGTAACTAAAAAAGTTTTTTTTCTCACTAAACAATTCAATATATTTTATTGCACAAGGACGTATAAAAAAACCCAGAAATGTTGCTGACCAAAAAAAAAAAAAGCATTTGCCAGCTGAGCCTCAATATTATCCTTGGAATAATTTATAGCTCTGTACATCCTGTTTTTATTATAAAAGTATTCAGCCCTTTTTACAAAAAATGTATTGAACCTCACACAATTGTTTTCCTCCCCTACCCACAACTTGTAAAATAGCATATTCATCTTGGTTTGTCATCTGTCATTCCATTACCTGCATGGCACTAATGTCAATGTAAATGTGTGTAGGTTTGTGTATACACATATATAAGCAAACTGAATTATGGCAGCAGCCAAACCCATGTAAAAGAGCATCCACCAGGCTGTTTATTCACTAAACAAATTGTAGTGGATTGAAAATCAAAATGTACAACTAGCAAAGCTGAGGCTAGGGCAGAGTTGTAGAATGTTTCACAGTCAGTCTAGGCTATATTTTGCAGTTTGGTTTTGAATTCACTACAATTTGATGTATAGTGGCTAACGCTAACCCCCTGTGCTCTAAGTAATGCCATAATTCAACTGGCTAGTTTCCCCCTTTTTTTAAACAAACAGAGGTTTGCTTGTGGCATTTAGAGATTAAAAGAAAATGATCCTATCTGGCATATATTTTTCTAATCTAAATGTCTGTTCACTAAAAAGTACGTTGAGGTAACTTGTACATTCAGTATCTGAACTGAAAAAAATAAAATGTTAAGTAAAGATTACATTTTTTATTGTAGTATATGTGGCCCTAACAGTGAGTCACCACAGCTACCTTTTCGTAAACCACCTCACCCTAGTGTGCATGGGTTTTTAGAGATGTGTGCTTAAATGTGTCTACAACCATTCTACATGTAATAAATGGTAACATGGCCACATTATGTATGATAAAAGACCAGTACATCCACATCTAGATCTTCTCAGTGGTAGATAATGTAATGCTCTGTGGGTCGAAAGTGTGACACACGGGGTTTATTTAATCATCAAACGTAAAGACAGCTTGATATGACAAAGACCACATGGGGTTGCAATTCTGACAGATGATCACTATGTTTAGCTGAATAAAACACTTGTGATGCACTGTTCATTATTTAATGTTTCCTTTATGTGCTGTTCTTTCAATGTGTTGTCCTAGCAGTGAATGGAAGCCTATGGAGCAGGCTTCCTCAAACGCTGGCCCTCCAGATGTTGCTGAACTACAACCTATCTATTTCATTCATAGAATCATGGGAGTTGTAGTTCAGCAACATCTGGAGGGCCAGAGTTTGAGGAAGCCTGCTATAGAGCATAATTGGTTTAATTACTTATGGGTTTGCTGATCCACCAATAGCAGGGCACTATAGTGTAGATGTGCAGGCCTTGGCCAAAAACATAGCGAAAACACGTACACGTACACACATATACATGTCTTTTCTTTGGTGTTTTTCAGCAAGTAGAGGTCTAGTTTCCATCAAATCCTTCAGATATCTTATTATAATGACTGTGGATGTCAGTGTAAAATGCAGTGTTTATGTGGGTAAGTGACCACTCTTCCTTATGATAAAGCAAATACAGGCCAACATGTGAAAACACTGCCTGCATCTTATATCTACACAGCATGGTCCTAACTTGTCTACGAGAAATAGAAACTGTTTCAACCTCATAATATAAGACTAACAACTGTGGTAATTTTGTAAAGAAAACACGATTTAAATAAAGGCCTTTGTTTTTTTTATTGTTTATAACTGCCTGAGGTATTAAGTGCACAACTGGGGCCATTGTACCAATGAGTTTGCATTTTAAGGTAGTATTTAGTGTGGTCTGCAGTCAGTAGATTCATAATTCCAGGTTTTACCTAATTTTTAGATTTTTTTTAAAAAGTAGATTGTAAGCTTTTTTGAAGCAGAATAATCTTGTTCGCACTGTTGAAATAATATGCCTGGGACTTGTCTACTATATTGTTCTATCACTAATTGTCTATATGCTAAAATTACTGTGTACCATTTGGCAGTGTGTCAATCAATAAAAGCATAATACCAAATATGTTCAAATGTGTTGTTCTTTTATGTATTATGTGCTAGGGGGACATCTAGTGGCTAACAATATGTACTAAAAACATTAGTAAAATCAATTCTAAAGATTATAATGGTTTTGCAGTTACAGTTGTAAAATAAGGATATAAAACAGCAAATAAAAGACAAAAAAAAGCAAACAGAAAAGCTACAATTTCTGGGGAAATTGTGTGAAGTGTTCTTGCCTCCACCAGTAGTCTACAACTGGAGTGTGCGGAGTAACTGTTATTATTTATTTATATAACACATTTAATTGCAACGTTGTTGCCCAAAGTGCTTCACAGTTACATTAAACGGTGTATTTTAAAAACTATAAATCTTACAGTGAAGAGCTTTATATTGTGTTGATGCATAGTATGTCTCTGAAGTATTAAAAATGAAGGCGCAGTCGCAGTTTAGAAATTGCCCTTCAAGTTTGAGCTGGCTAGAGTGGAATTTCAATGAATGTCAATGGACGGCGTGAGTTGCAAACAAATGGTCATATTGTTAAAACTATCAGGACTATGGCTTAGCCGTTGACATTTTTAGTGGCAGCAGGGATAGCTGAACGTTTTGATATAAGATTTGTGTAGGTGGGCTTGAAAATGAGGGATTGGTGGCAGTTTAGAAATCATGTCCTGATTTTTCAGCTTTTGCCAACTCCCATTCTAGTTTTGAACATTTTGCCATTCATTCCTGCGGGACCAATTTAGCCACAAGAACGACGATATTCCGTGAACCATTCGGCGAAACGTTCCACAAAGTAATAGCAATCCAATCAGGAACAATCCGCACGTTTCGGTATATTTCTGTCTATGTTGTGTAAAAACTGTGGGAGGAGTTAGGGTGGTAAATTTGGCTATAATAAGAATAAGAATAATATATATGTGAGATAACAGTAAGTGGTCTTGCTATGCAAGAACACTTAATAATAATATATATATGTGAGAAAACATTAAGTGGTCTTGCTATGCAAGAACACTTAAATATGAAAGAAGAGCCTTCATACAGCAGTAGCTACTTGTAAAACAAAACAAAAATTCTAGCTAATATTAAATAGACACTCGCACTCCCATAACAACTGGAGCTTATTTAAGCTGTTTTGGGGACAGGGGTATCCAGGCACCATCTTACCTTCAGGGGTTAAATTATTTTGTAATGGTTTAACCCTGAAATTGGCTCCAGCACCTCTGCCGCCTGGATTCCTTCCTTCTATACAGAGCACACAGAACAATCTAAGCAGTAGGCAAGTTAGAATTATTATTATTATTGGCATTTATATAGCTCCAACAGATTCCATAGCGCTTTACAAGAGGGGGATATTTAACAATAAATGAAACAATTACAAAAATTTACAGAAACAATAGGTTGAAGAGCATCCTGCTCAAACTAGCTTATAGTCTAGAGGTGGTGTATAAAACACTATAGGACAGGATGAGCAGCAGTTGGTGAGATAACTGTGTGGAATCTGACCCCAAAAAATCAATATACATAATTTAAAAATAAAGCATTATGTTTCATTAAGTGTAATAACGTTTAAAAAATGAGAAGTGAAAATTTGATGGCTGTCCTTTACGTTGTGAGTTCACAGTAGTGAATGTTAGGCACTTGTATTTACAGCAATTATAACCTATCTGAAGCATAGTAATAGATAGGAATTGGAACATGTGTTTTATTTATAGCCAATGGTCCTTCAGTATGCCTCATGTTAAATTAAAAAATATCTGTAGATGAGGAATCTCAAGGTCAAATTCATGGTTATTTATCTTTCAGTATGCATGTGTGTCTGTATGTTCCTGTGTGTAGCCACCTTTTTTATGAATTTGTATATTCATTAGTAGTTGTATCTGTCTGTATTTGCATGAGTGTGTCAATATGTGCATTCTACTTTATGTTTGTGCTCCCCTGTCTCTTAATGAGGGCCTGTTTGCATGAGTGTGTCTGTATGTATTTGTTTCTATGTACACGTGTATGTATGTGTGTGTGTGTCTGTTAATGAGTGTATAACAAATTACAGCAAATGCAGAGAAATGTTCGAAAAATTTTAGATAAAATATGGCTCATGGTGTCAAATGTGAAAAATTCCATAAATTGGAGATCTGGATGAATTACAGTATGGCATATGGAATGCATTAAGTCAAATAGAGAGACATCTGTCAAAATAGATGAAATGCCGCATGTGGGGTACCTCAATCTCAGTGTTTTTCTGTATCATTATATTTGAAATGTAAGTCACAGTATGCCAGCATCAGATTTAGGAACAAAAAAAATAAAACTCTTTAATTCCAAATCAGTTTAATTGGACCCAACAAAGTTTTGACATAGTAGGCGACATTACTAAAAACAAAACAAAAAAAACTATATTAAGCCCCTCTAAGCTTAGCATAGTTTTAAATAAAATGGTACACTGAGACATAAAGGTAAAATAATAGGATTTGACTGCTACACACATGACTGCTACACTATATTTCTGCAGCAAGCTCTGGATTTTAGAGAAAGACTGCAGGGAGAGACAGGATCAAAGGAAAGAACGAAATACATGCATAAATACATAAATAATCTATTTGAAATCAAAGCCATGTTCTGCTCAGTCTACTGTAAAACAATATTTTGAATTTCAACAAATATCCTATTTTAATGTAAATCAAATGCCAAGTAAAGGATTACTGTACCTTTTTTTAATTAATTACATTTTTATTCACATTATGAACAAAGGAAAACAAGTACCAGAGCACATAGTTAAAGAGGCTCTGTTACCCCAGATCAAAAATTAGTAGTTTATTTTCTTTCATTCTTACCATAATTTTTTTTTCTGGCTATTTTCCATGGCAGCATCACTACTGAGTTAGCTCCTCCCCTTAGCTGTAAGAATACATTAATATAAAGTTAAGCTATATAAGGACCATCTCTTCCTGTGCTCCTCGGTCTCATTACAAAGCTTCACTGAAGAAGATACACAATTTAAAAGGGTGGATCCTGATGCTGCCATGGAAAATAGTCAGGAAAAGAAAATAAGATAAGTATAACAGAACATTTTTATTTTTCCTGGCTAACCATGGCAGCATCATAATTGGGTAATACTAAATATAAAATGAACGAGTGGGAAACAATCTCAGACACTGTGATAATGCAAAAGTAGAAAAATATTTATTTATGAATAGAGGACATTGCTGCTTAAAGTACACCCTTGCGAAAGCATTCTGAGTTTCGGGAAACACCCAATTTATAGTGTTTGACCAACATATTTTTGGAAGCCCATGTAGCTGCTTTACAGATGTTGTCTATGGAAACATTTGCCATTGATGCCAAAGGCGTTCCTACAGCTCTAGTGAAATACACTTTAATTCTCTTTGGGATTGGGTGACCCTATATAGTATAGGCTTTAGAGATTACTTCACAAGTCCATTTTCTGAAAGAGTTTAAGGAAGCCTCCATATCTCTCTTTTTCCCTTCTGGTAAAACAAACAGTCACTTTGGTTTCCTGAATGTTTTTGTTCTCTCCAAGTAAGCAGAAAGACAGCACATGACATCCAATTTGTAAAATTCTTCGTCTTCTGAGGAACGAAGATTAGGAAAAAATGAAGGAAGGATTATATACTCATTTAGATGGAACAAAGATAACACTTTTGGCAGGAATCCTGGACTGGCCCCATAATAACCTTGTCAGGAAGAAGTAGTGTAAAAAGTAAAAGAAGACAGTGCCGGAATTTCACAAAATCGTCTGGCCGAAGTGATCAAAATAAGAAGCAAAATTTTCCAAGTAAGAATGGGGTCTGAAGGCGGACCCCATAAAGAGAGTAAGACCAATGTTAGATCCCATTTCGGGGCAAAGGTTTTAATAGGCGGTCTAATATGCATCACTGTTAACTATTGTGTCCAAAGTCCATCTTGATTGAGTTAATGGAGAAAGTGCTGATACTGGTAACCTCAGAGAACTCAGACTGAGCCCTTTGTCCATGCCAGTTTGGAGAAATCTGATAGTGGTTTGGGGCAAGTCTTTGTCACCAGTCTTTGAAATCCGCACATATTCTGAGATAGGTAGTTGATGTAGAAGATTTTCTTGATTTTAGTAATCAGTCACTGCTTCAGATAATCCAGATTGTCTTAGTGCTTGCTATTCAATATCCATACCATTAATTTCCATCACTTTGATCTGAATTATTGGTCCTTGTGAGATCAGGTCCATAATTCCCATCATCATACTCCACAATAGTGGGCCTTCGATCTTTTCACATTTTCTTCAAAACTCAAGAAATCATGGGGATCGCAGGAAAAATGTATCCTATGCTGGATTTCCATGGTTGTGTTACAGCATCCCACGCCTAAGCAATCGCTTTAGCTTTCCTTAAAACATTTTTTGTAACTTGTGTGTTTACCTTTGTAGCCATCAGATGTATTTCTGGATAACCCCATTTGTGAGTTAATTTCAGAAATATTTAATGGATTCAATCTCCATTCGCATGGGTACACTTTGTGTCAATTTAGATAATCTGCAATCAAATTCTGTTTCCCTGGAACTGTATTCATTCAAAATTCTTCTGTGCCCATGTCGTGAGTGGTTTAATTTTCTGCAATAGCAGATGATTTTTCGTTCCTCCATGCCTGTTAAGTAAGATGTCACTGCCTTGTTGTCCATCTGAATCAATTCTCACTGTTTAAGTAATAGGTTCTTGAAATGAAGGAGAGCTCTGAAAACTGCAATCAGTTCCAGTACATTTGATGGAAAACTGCTTTCTTTCCCTGAAAAAAACACCTTGTACAAATTGTATCCCAACGTGAATCCCCCATGCCTATTTGCTTGCATCTGTAATCTGTACACATTCTGGATCATCTAGTTAAAAAATCTTTTCCGGAGGCGTTTCTTCTTTTCACCCACCACATCAAATTAATCAAATCTCATGAAATATAAATCTTCTGGCTCCATGTTTTTTCCTAGTGAAAATTGTTAAG